TTGACTGGAGGAGTTGTTTTGGGGGGTGTCTCTCTCTTTTCCCCCTCCCTTCATCCCTCCTTTCCTGTCTGCCTCGGCTCCCTCTCGCTTTCTACTCCACTTATCAGCTGAAATAAGTGCCATCATCAGAGACTGGGATTGATGGCAATCCCAGCATGCACCCTGCTACATTATTTAAACCTGGAGTGGACATCAAGATTTCTGCTTTTGTCTTCTAGTCTTCAGCTGTCAGAGGTCTCAGATCTGTGATTCCTGTTGTGTCATTTAACCAAGCTCCAGCGTGGAGGGGCACAAAGAAGTCTGACAATTTGACAGATTTGAGCTCCACCGCTGTATCTCAATAGCCCAGTCCCAAAGAAACTGGATTTTGGCTTCAAGGCCATGTGAATGAACACGCAAGACCTTCCAAAACCAGATGCACAGACCGAGAGAAAGTGAAAAAGAGAGTGAGCTCTTCAGCTCAGGGCTGTGGGGGAAGAGTTTGAACAATGTCTCCCTACGGGGGTGATATTTTATAGTTTGTGTCCATCAATGGCGTGGCCCGGGGCGCTGAGGTTGACAGTAAGTGCTCTCAACACTGCTGACACTGATTCATCTGAGCTACGACATACATGAGACGAGGGGAGGGGGGTGAAAGAAGAACAAGGCAAAAGAAAAAAGAAGGGAAGGGTGTCAGGACGACATCTTAGAGCCCTGCGCGCACGACACAGACTTTACCTTTTCATCCGCCCGTGCGAGACCTTTGTGTTTGTGCATTTGTTGGTTGGCCCACCCGGTTTGAGAGCAGACCCTCCAATCTAACATGGCATTTAAATTTCTCCTTCACTCCACCTGCTCCGTTCCCCTGCTTCTACATTTATATAGAAGAGGAAGACTGCGAACCCTGGGCCCACAGGATACGCATACTAAGCAATCAATGTGTCACCTCTTCTTGACAATCCTTTTTTTTTCCCTCCATACAGAAGACCTGCTCATTTTTTCTTGTCAGCAGAAGGTAATTTGCTGTATTGTGATTCGGCCCAATAGCTGGGTGATGGAAGTGCATGATGGGTCCGCACCCAAACCCCCACCATCCCGCACACACACACGTTCTAGATGGCCTCCTCAGCTCGAGCGGAGGCACCCCACCCAGAGCCGCATCTACATCTGAGGCTGTTAAATGTGATAAGCGTGGAGTGTGGCGCAGGGGCCTCTGATTAATAAAAGATGGGGCTGCTACGAGCTCCCAGGGGGATGTCCTCTCTGAACCGACCCACCCCACCCCGCCCCGTGCCGCGCGTGCTCAGACGCTCCACACAATGCCTCTTGCACCCACACAATAGACAGGAAATGGGGAGCAAGAAGCAATCATAGAAATATAACATTTAAAACATCTGCATCCTGTGCCCCTCACATCTAGCACATGTGCATTAGAATGGACAGTGATTCACCTTTTGAAAAGCCAAAAATATGACTAATATATTCACAGATACACATGTGAGACAGGAAGTCTGATACCCTGCTGTTTCAGAGCACAAAGCTAATTTTTATTTTTATATATTCAGATTTTGAACGTGTGCACTGATGCAGTATTGTTTTTATTGTAGATCTATATTGAACAAAGGGACATTACATCCATTTGCATATTTATGGGTGAATGTGTGAGCGATCCGGATGCTTCCATGCAGAGAAGCTGCGTGGAGCCAAGTCACCTCTTCACTCATTGATATGGCTTTGTTACCAACAGACGCTTTGTCCCTATTCTCCTCATGTTTACAAGAAAAGACAGCATAACCCTGGTTGCCCATAGAGACCAGAGACATCCCCTTTTCTCTCTTCCTTCTTGGCACTTGAATGTCTCAAATTTAGATGATTCATCTTCTTTATTTTTGGTTTCAAATGAAAAAAAAAAAACCTGTGGGATAAATCATAGAAACACAAATGTAATCATAAGGACACGCATATCCAATCTTTTTTTTGCAAAATTGCATAGCTATTCCTCAAATAACACCACATAAACCTAAACACACACACACACACGTACACACACAAATGCTCATCAAACCAGTACCTCAGCCAGGTAGCTTGTAGTTTTTCTCTTTAAGACTCTTGAATCTGTGCAGTTGCTGCTCTTTTGTAGACGCTGCATTTATCTTTTCATAACCACACCCCCACCACGGGACCAGACAATAGCAGGACATTTCTAATTTTCTGCTGGATAATGGCCGTCATGCTAAAATGAAATAGGTCAGAGGTCAGTTTTGCTGGATGTGATTTCTGGGGACACGAACCTTTCCCTTTTCAAAAATGCAGTGCTTTAATTCGATTCCATTGAGTATTGTCTTTTCAGAATGGCGGCTGAGAAAAATAACTTATGCTTTGATTGAATTTCATTTGACAACATTATAAATTCAGTTTTACGACCAGCATTTTGGAATTGTATGTCAACCTTTGGGTTTATTTACTTATTCTGTAATGAGTGCATCCAGATACGATGCAGCTGTGTATGTGCGCTTCTGATATTCATGTGTCTGTGTCCCTTTTGACCTCATCGGCGGGCTCCTCCCACTAGTCTCAGCTGAAATAGATCGATATAGCTGGTGCATGAATATGTATGCAATATGCACATTGACTTGAACTTGGTTTTGACCTTTTTTTTCCCATAAACAATATACATATACAAGCATGAGCCATCGGCTTCACTCTGGACAATTGAAGTGCATAAGATCTTTCCATACATTATTATATTTTTTTTCCCCCTCACAGCACTTCAGTAGTATGTATATATACACCCACAAAAATAAATAAATAAATAAAAAGTTTACCTGTATTTTTTTTATCAGCAAACTATAGTATATACCAGCCAAAACAAATGGCAATTTCTCTCAATAAAAATAATTCTTGGCTGTAATGGATATTATTGGCAAAAATGTAATGATGTGTGTAAAATCTAATGGAATTCTTTACACTTTGACAAAATCTAAGATCTAAAAACAGTTATTGCTTAATCTAACTGTAAAACTGAATAGACATTCCTTGTGAAATCTGAAGGGTGTTTTTGGCAAAAATGTTATGCCAGTTAAATTTAATGTTAAATCTAATGAAATAATGTTAAATCTAATGAAACTCATTATTAATTCAGTAATTATGGCAATTATTGGCAATACTTGTCAAAATGCAATAATGATTAGTGGCAAAAATCAAATGGCAAAATCTAATGCTCATTATTTGTAAAAAAAAAAAAAAAAATCGAAAGGCAATTCTTGGCAAAAAAGTAATGTCAATTAGTGGAGAATATTTCATGAAGAATTCTAAAATCTAACGATAGTTATTTTAATAGTCTAACTGCAAAACTGAATTGAAATTCTAGGAGAAATCTAATGGATATTATTGGCAAAAATCCAATGGCAATTATGTGTACAAATCTGATGGAATTAATGCTCTAAAAATGAATGGCAATTATTGGCAATTCTTGACAACATCCAATGGCAACTCTGATGCAAATTATTGGTAAAATCTAATGGCAATTTCTGGCAAAAAGCAATGGCATGTAGTGGAAAATATTTCATGACCAATTGTAAAATCTCATGACAGTTATTGGTTAATCTTATTGCAAAACCGAATGGAAATTCTAGGAGAAATCTAATGGATATTATTGGCAAAAATCTAATGGCAATTATGTGTAAAATCTAATGGAATTAATGCAAAAAAAAAAGATAGAATGGCAATTATTGGCAAATCTTGACAAAATCCACTGGCAGCTCTAATGCAAATTATTAGTAAAATCTAATGACAATTTCTGGCAAAAAGCAATGGCAACGTCAGTTACTGGTTGCTTTAATCATAAAACAGAATGGAAATATTAATGAAATCTAATAGCAATTCCCTCTCAAGTGGCACTCTTCATACAAGCACTGTATTTATGTGTTTGACATTTCTCCCTGCTCCATGTTCTCATCTACATTTCAGTCCATATCTGTGCTGGCGTGAGACTCCATTTCCCAGAGAGCAGCACAGGAGAGGAGGTGGGGTTGCCATACTCTCTTAAACTGCTGCCCTGGAAGGTCATTGCTCACAGTCATGTGAGAGGCCAGTGCGGCCCCTTGGGCCCTATGACAAACAGGGCTGCAGTGCTGAGGTGTGTGTCAGGGGTGTTTTTCCACAAAGCATTCTATAAAAGTGTAACCGCTCCGTGTTTGCCCTTTCCTCCCTGTACGCACGCACTGCTCAGCCAACAGGCCCCTAAAGAGCTCTTAAGAAATGCTGAGCCAACACACAAGCTGGCCCTGCTAGCAACTCTAGTAATGCTCTTTCTCGCTCTTTCTTCCACTTTTCTGTCCCGCGTTCTCTCGCTTGTGCTGAATCATGGCAGGCTGTGATCGTGACAGCGGGGAGAGCAGGAAAGGTGGTCCTTGTTTGGGGCCTGAAGCTAATTATGGAGCATTAGAGCAGTGCTAAATAAATGTGTAGTGTTGCTAATTGCTTGCTAGTGAAAACAATAACTCTACAACAGATGCCCAAGGGCACAGGGGGACAAGAGGCTCTGGGAATAAAGGGCCTTGGCATGGGGCCATCAGCGGCCCCTCCTCCAACCCTCCTGCTACCTCACCAATGATCTGTGCCAGCACTAGCACTGAGAAACACATGCAATCTGGCATCGGCATTTAGCAGTCAAGCTGTTTGTGCACATGCATATGCGCTTCTGAGTGTGCAAGAGAGTTCCCATGATTCCCAAGCTGATGCTGCGCATGTAAACATGCATTGCAGCAACAGCAGCAATCTGTCCCTGCCACCTTCACACATCATTGCATTAATAAACATGAATTAGTAATAGCACAATTAGACCAGGCACGGGTGCATCGCTTGTGCAGAAGATCAAGTGAAATCACAAACTCACGCTTCTAAGAAGCTCTGTCACTCATATCCCAGAAAATTGATAATACTGTCCCAATGCATCTGTTTCTTTTATGTCTCACACATCTTTCTTTGTATTTCTGTATCTTTTTGTGTCTGTGTTCTAGGTTTGGATCCACTCTGTGACGGGAGACGGTGTTTGAACGGTGCACACTACTGGATCTCCGGTGGCCTGCCGGTACGTACGCCCACTCTCGCGCAGATTTCCCAGCAGCACCTGAGTGAATGAGGCTAACATGAGTCTTTACACCCGCTTAGACCACACACAGGACATGAGTGACAGCGTCACATCACAACTTAATGTGTCAAATCGAAACCAGACATCCAATCACACTCTATTCTACTACAAAATATGACAGGGAATCTGAAAAACACACTCGCATTCGAACTTACAGTGACCGATCGGGTCTTTACCGCGGTGTTTAGATACAGTAAGATTACCCTATCTCTCACAGCCAGAAATGCTGTGATGAGTAGCAAACATATGAGTCTGAACTGTTACAGCTGGTATGTGCTTAACACATACACACACACAGGTGGACTGCAGACTGCCTGTCTCAGGGCCAAGCCAACGCTCCCTCAGCAGGACTTACGCATGCACATTGCAAAGGAATCTCCCTGTGATCCAGTCGTAATGTAGTGCTAACATTCTGGCAGACAAACACTGCCACAGGCTCTTATTGATTATTTTACTCACAAACAGATACACACAGTTCTACACTCACAGGTGTGCACATATACAGCCACTTTTGTGGCCCACTGACATATTTGTCTATTGCAACACTAGCCTAAGGAAGTTAAATATTTTCATATTCTGCCTTTTCCTTGTTTCTTGCAGCCCGTTCCCTTTTAATTCCCTCATTTATCCATTGTTTTTTTTTTCCTCTACAGATTGTGGCATTAGCACAGATTGCTAATGATCCCTTCATTTTGAAGCTTTTCTGCATCACAGTCTCAAGGGAGCCATTTTTGTTGTGTTTTTACTAATTGCCATAATTTATTGACTTGTTAAGGTTTCCTGACCAGTTAATTCTGCTTTTTGTTCCTCATTCTTCACAAATACGTATTGCACTCCTTAAAATAGAAGGACAAGATTTGCAAATCTTTTATTAAAGAATGAGGTCATTCCAAAAATATTTTATGAAAAATAGAGCTTGCATAAAATATTTGTTTTCTTTTTCCTAACTAAAAAGTATACATATCACTCTTCCCTATAAATATACTATATACCCAACATTAAAATTGCACAATAATATATTGTATTTGCTGTAGCACATCCATCATTGAAAGATGTCAGTGGATGATACCCACAGCCTAAATTTGAGTCTGAATTTCAGGTATGAAGGTCTAGATGATACGTATAAATAAAGTGTTTTTGAAATTTTGAGCCACAGCACACCTCAATTTCCCTAATGTAGCACCTACTGCAATGAATCAGGCGTGAGTAATATAATCTCGCTAATAACCTGCGGTATGTCTGTGTAGCCACTTAAAGGGATAGTTCAGCCAAAAATGAAAACTGAAAAGGAGATATTTAGCAAAACGTCCAAGCTGCTTTTCTCCATGCAATAAAAGTGGATGGGGACCAGGCCTAACAATGGTGGCCATTCACTTTCATTGACTGGAGAAAAACAGCTTGGACCACCTGCTAGATAACCCTTCTAGAAAGTCATATGGGTTTGGAACAACTTGAGTAATTATTGACAAGTTTTGGGTGAACAAAGTTTCGATCATAATCACAATCCATTGTTGTCTCCCACTCTGTAATATAGGTCTTTAAATCATTGTGTCTCTTTTAGATCCATGTTTCGGGGCACTACAGCCAATATGATGTCATGCCAGAAGTGTATGCCTTGAATTTGTGTGTTAAAGTGTACATGTCCATTACACAAAGGCATTCCACACAAATAGAATACAGGGCTTCATTCTTTTGGATTTAGATTGTGGGGCTGATAGGTGATCAGTGGTCTGACATCCTGCATCAATTCCCTTCATTATGGCCTGCAGACCAGGTCTGATCCTCAATCAACCCTGAGCACATCCGTTGAGCACAAACCACAGTGCTGCCGAAATATACTTTGGTCTGGATCAATACAGGCCTCCCTTGGGCTCTTGTGCCTGATCCCCCCTGGTGTGTCTTGTGACTGAGTGGCAAGACAGGCCTGATTTTCTAAACAGCCCTCACTTCATCCATTGTTCTCCATTGTAGGACCAGCAGCTCTTCTGTTTATTATCCAGACTTTTGTCCAAAAAGTGACAAAAATATTCAGTCAGTAGAAAGTTGAAAGCTTCTGTACTCCGATAGCGAGGAACTGATACACGTCCAATGCTTAATATCCCATCTTTGAACATTCCACCATGATCCACTGGTGTACAGTTGGGGTTTACGAAAAGATCAGGCACCAAAATCCTCAAAGTGGCCCGCAAATATCCTCAAGACTATCAAATGTATTGGACCTGCTCTCAGTATGATGTTTTCTCATTAAGAATTCCCTTCGGAAGTGATCGCCGCCATATTTTGCAGGCCTCCTTATGAGCGAGAAGTCATCGGGTATTGCTGTTCGCAGGTAAATATTATGGTACGCGATTCCATCCCCGTCAACCAGAGGCATTTTTTTTCCTAGAGAGAATAAATGATAATTAAATTTACAAAGCAATCAGAATTAATCGCGTACCATCTCCCACAGCGATTAAAGACCTCCACCTCCCCCCGCGCACACATACGCTCATTTACTCACCAGGCCAAACCTGCGCCTGTTTTCGTTCATACGTTACCTCTCTCGCCCACTCCCTCTCTCTCCGTAAATTATTTTGTATACTTACGGCGAGACTCATTAGTCACCCCTCCCTTCCGCGGCTTAACGAGAAAGCGATTAGAATGCATGTTAACGCAGTCCCAATGGCTGCTCCTGCTCGCTTCTCTACGTCCACACCACACTGCTTTACCTTCAGCACTGCCTCCTTCTGCCTCTCTGTGAGATCTCCCCTTCTCTCCCCTCTACCTCTCTCTTCTGTGGCTGCAGCCTCTCTCTCCTTTCCTCTCTCTCTTTCCCTTTCCTCGTCCTCTCTGCAGCCTCTCTCTCCCTTTCCCTCGCTCCTCCCTCTCTTAGAGCTGCAGGCTGCTGGGGGTTTTAGACGGATCACTCTCACAATGCCTGATCAATATGGCTATTGATCGGCTAGCAAAATGTTTATAAAATCATCCCAGGCAACCGGAGTGACGGGGTGGAGAGGAGGAGCGCGAGCGAGGGGAGGGCCGTGAGGGCGATGTCATTCGGCCAGGGTAGAGGAGGCAGCGTGCCCCTGATTGGTCGCTTCTCTGCCCGCCTTGCCAGGCAACTAACGGGGTACATTGTTCTGGCACAGCGCTCCCCGCTTCCGCTCCTGTGGCGCTCTGCCGAACTTTCCAGCCCCACAAGCCGTCACCACCAGCACAGCAGCGGCACTGTTTTTACTGCACGCCGTTGGCTGCCAGCCAAACCCTGACAGCACCCACCCCCCGACATCCCAGCTCCCAGGAGTCAGTAACCTTCATTTGCATAAATTAGCAGGCCGCAGGCAGTGCCAGGCTCTTAACGAGTCAATGTCATGTCATGTTGTCCCTCCTCCCCTCGTTCGCTTCCTGCTACATGAGAACACACATACTCCCGGCCCACCTACTTTGGGTTCCCTTTGGCATAGAATACCCTCTGGACCCTTCTCCATTTCACCGGCTCTCTGTGTGGCTCCTGGGACCCTGCTCCCACTATATCAGCATTATCAAAGAACACGTCCCCACAGATCCCCCTGCTCCTGTGTGAGCTTGTGCTGGGAGATCTCAGACTAAAACATGCACTGAGTGCTACCCTTGTCCCTGAGCACATATGCTGGGATCTTACTTTTCTGAATGTTTCTGCGGTTCATACAGAAAGTTTCCTCACCTCGCACTTAGAGATGCTAACCACAGCAAACCTAGCTCACTGCTAATCTTTTCATCAAGAGCTCCATTCATGATGGAGAAGGACTCGTCCTTGACATCCCAGCAGTCCTGACAGTAAAGGATCATCAGCATTCATCAGTCATTCAACAGTGTTTGAGGAATAAATCTAATCTGCAGCCTGCACAAAGATGATAGAAAGATACCTAGAACAATTAAACTGTTGCATCAGGCTCTGCTAATTCTTGAAATTTAGCAGCAGCTTCCACATAGCTTAGAAATGTTTAGAAAGCCCACAAGTAATTGCTATAAAAGTTTTCAGGCACAAAATATAACCATTCCATGTGGTGTATTAAGTAGGGATTGGTATCTTTAGGCACCTCACGTTTTAATTTCAGATCACAATCATATTCCAAAATGATTCTCAATTTAATTCAATATGGCCAACCCACCAACAGAAATGGAATAAGTGAGTTTAATAACGTAGCATCGGGTCTGCAGCTTTCATTCTGATTAAAGTCTGAATCAGAGAACTTTATCGGTTTGTAAATCAGTGAGTTTCTTTTTTTTCTGTAGCTGTGCACAATGATCAACTATTAATCATGTAATATATTGTTAAACCATCTATATATGCCACTACTGATGAGGGCACACACCATATGGCACTTACCTGTGCCTGTGAAGTTTTTTTTTTCATAAAGAGAATTGTTAATAAATAATGTCAATTTTTATTATGAATTTGTTTGATATGAGACTGTTTGATAAATAACCACAGTGTGTCTGTGATATCCTCCAAATCCTATTTTTAGCGATCCTACCGCTGCTTCTCTGGCACTTGCCTTAAAACGCTGTATTTGATAGCCTAGGGCAAGGTCACACAGGTCAAGCCATCAAGTAGAGTCTGTTTAATTAAGGTGGTGTTTTTAATTAACCATAAAAGCTACTTATCTCCCCAACTAATTGGAGCATAGATGGTCTCAGCATCATGCCTGCTCTGAAATACTAACCCTGCTGAAATTTATTAATATTAGCATAAACTGCCTAAGAATATGAAAACTAGGAAAACAGGAACACTTACTTTCATGGTCTAATGTTAGTATCTTTGCTAATTTCGCAGAACCTAAGTGACAGATGACTTTTTGCAAAATTGTGCAATTTTTACTTAACCATTTGATTGTCCACACAGCATTTGACACCAGCAACAAAGGATATGCTTATTTCTCTCTTTTAAAAGTGAATAGGATATTTATTTTTGCTAAGCT